TGTGTAATTTTGTTCAATTAAGATAAAATTTACTTAAGTTTAGACAAAGCAATAAGTGGAAAATTATCTGATAATTGGTAAATGTTTTATGTTAATTTGAATTGAATTGTATGTTTTGTCTGACTTTCCTCAGATATCATAGCTCTAAATATACACTACAGTGAAAAAATTTTTTTTTGAATTATTAGGATGTCAATTACTAAGCATAAAAAACCTTACAAAGCATTACTGAGGCTTACAATTATCAGCAAACATAAAGTCTCCCAAAATTTGGGATAGTTCTTTGAATTCATTCAAAGTATAGTTGAAATAAGCAACTTGCTTCAAGTCTTCATTTTCCTTTGCAGTGAAGAGCAGAATCTGAAGGTAGGGCGGCTTATTCATAATGTAATTCCTGACTGTGACACACACCTTCCTCATGTTTTATTTTGCTATTTCATATACTCTATTACAGATGTCGAGCTCTTGCTCCATAGTTGATTTTTTACCAGATTTGGCTTCATATATAGGTACGAGTCCAAGGTTTTCAGCATCGTGAATAACAGTATTCCGGATTGCCGATATTGTTTCTCCCTCTTCTTCACTAAGAAATATTTGTTGAAAATTTTCGAATTGTCCCAAATCACTTATTTTTAAAAGTTGAAAACAGGGTTCGAATTATAATTTCCCCTAGCAGGATCTTTGGAACCAAACAAAACTCCCAATTCTTTTTTGAATTTCTGACAATTCGGTATAGTTGGGACTATCAACTTTTATTAAGTACATTTGTGAAGAATTTACCGATGAGATGAGGAGAAATTAGAGAAATTCTTTTGAGATTAAATGAAAAGGGAAGTAAGCAAAATGAGTCAACGCGATTTCCATATATGAAGGTAGTACCAAATATTGAAGGTTTTGTATGAAGTTTCCCACAATGGAATTTGCGTAAGTTTTACTACTTCTACATAAAAGCAGCAGTTTCTGCAAAAACCATTCTTTTCAATGACAGCTGCTATGTGTCAAGCTCTTCCCAGCTTTCATTCAGATTTTAATAAAAAATCAATATTTTCTGTTTCCATTGAATTTTACGAAATTACATAGTAACATAAAATGATTGCGCGTCTACTCACAATTTTTTCTGTTCCTTGGGAATTTGAAAGTTTCATTCAATTTTGATAGGAACACCTCTTTGCCAGATTCTGCAGAGATTAGACAAATATCAAAACATCTATCAAGAAATTGATTGTCTTTACATTTTGTACAAACACAGATTCTTTTCGAGTTTTGTCACATCAAGTGGGGAAGTGTTCAAACAGCTTAGTTGCGGAGTTCAGCATACTTCACAATGGGAAGGGGCCGAAAAAACATCAAGCGTATCAAGGAAACGACTCGCGGAAAAAGTTCAAAAAACATTATCTAAGTTCAAATCAAAATGGCTCAGCTTTGTAAGAGAGAACTCGAAAAGTTCGAAAATCAAAATATGAGTCTGATTTGTTTAATATAACTGATTGTTTTATTGATGGTTATAGTTCTGTAAACAGCGAGCGTGTCAATGTTTCTTTTATTTGTGAATAGTTTTTCATAAAAATTTTGTCAAAGATAATTATATATCATCTTATATGCTTTTCAACGATGAAGTTTATGTTACTTTTTTTTCAAGATGCAAAAAATGTAATGATTTTTTAACAAGTATGCTAAATTTTTCGAGAAAAAATTTTGCAAGATGCAACTTTTTTCATGATTTCTTACAAAACATATGCAAAAACCAAACTTATTTTTTCTCATGCAAATGCAAAAAACGTAACATTTTATTGTTAAAAGGAGGTGTTAAATCCTTGCCAAAAAATTTCAACACTTTCGTTTTTGTGTTCTTTTCTTCATCCTATTACATTGTTTTTTTTTTGATCTTTTTAATCAACATACCTGCAACAATTAGATTTCTTTATGATAAGAAAAAAAAACAAAAAAAACATTTACTTTATTTATTAACAGTGCAAGAAAACAGTTGTACGATAATTTTTTAAAAGCGTTCCAAACTACCCTTCCGCCCCGGCGGCTTAGGCCTATTAAGGGCGTTAATGTGAGCATCCGCTCGACGCGGAGTGCTCGTTAACGGTTCTGCCGGTCATGATGTTAAAAAAAGAATAACACCCAGGAGCGCCATAAAAACATGTATGTAACATTCGCCCGGAAGATACATATCGACGGAAAATAAAACTAAGTCCTAAGACGACTGGCTAACGTCTAAACAGAGCTTTACATGCTTTTCACCGTCTCTACCAAGCCAGTACTTTCGGTGGTCTTTCTAACATCGGGTCGACCAAAAACGTTACTGCTTTCGGCTTCGGTCAAAACACTCAAACTAACTTAATTACATGCAGAAATAGTGAGCTCATGGCTGGGTCTCAGTATCCCCAGACCACGAGGTCACTTCTAAAAACAGGGCTACTACTACTTATTGAATTGTTATTGTTTTTGTTCAGTAGATAAAAATCATCAACTCAATCGAAGATGGATCAACCCTTTCCCCCAACTCCTAGCTTCTCATCCTAGCAAAATGAATTCAGATGTTAATTAAATTCAAATCAGGACATGACAGGGAAGCTAAAAGTTTATATAAGTCGATAAAAGTTTCAGTCCCGAGAACCCTCCGGATTCTTGAATCCGGGTCAATAAGGCCCTTATCTTCTTTCCGGAAGGCTGGTTCTCCACCCTTCACCGTTGTTCGCAACGGCCTTGCAACTATTGTAGCGACACAATAGTTGCAACTCGGAATGGTCTCTGCTGTTCCTGCAATCTGCTGCCGTTTCTCAATCACGATTTCCGTTGTTATCGTCAGCGCAACTAATGTTGTTGTGTTTTTCTTCGACTTTCTGTCAAAATGGCCGTTTCTGACATTTCTCAGAAATATGACGTCATAACTCGAATTTTTAAAATTTTCGAAATACCAGAATATTCTAGCCCTCACCGTTTGGCCAATCGTTCCAATAACGCTGTTATTCCTTCAAAATTGCCAATTTGGAAGGTTCACTGCTAAAATTTAGAACATGCTGAATCTGCATTTTGATCCATTCTGGTCGAATGTCACACTTATCTATTAATCAATCGTTTTTTTTACTCTGTATCTGTTACTCAAAATGATTTTCTCAGTGCAAAACAACAACTTTATGTTCTCTTTTTTGCCTGATCTAGTATAAATCTAAGTGCGAGATACAGTATCTGAAGTTTTTCTAGCTAGAATGGACATCCCAATCCAAGTCTGGCACACGGTGGAGGTGATCCGATGAGATTTCAACGAGCATCAATTGACTCAAGTACCCATGACAGAGAACCAACTAGAGATAGGTTTAAAAAGATAAGGTACGAGGTTATAGAAAAATTTGTAATACACATTTTTGCACAAATCATATGAGTTTTGCATTTTGCAAAAGACAATATATTTGCAAAATGGTTAAAAAATTAAAACAATTTCGTCTTCTTCTGAAAATTTTCAGATCATTTTTTATAGACTTCATAAAAAAACATCACAGTTTTTGCACACATGACAAAAGCATCTTTACATTTTTTAGTGTTTTTCTTGCAATGTTTTTCTTGCAGTGTTTTTCTTAACGTTTCCCGCATACTTGTTAAAAAAATCAAAAAAATGCAAAATAATAAAATTTTCCCTTAATGTTTTTGCTTTTTAGAAAATTATTATAAAACTTTATCTTGCTCTGTTAATAATTAGAGTAAAAGATTTTTTTTGTTTTATTTTTGTTCATAAAGAAATCTATTTTTTGCATGTATGTTGATCAAAAATCTCAGAAAAACTATGTATTAAGATGGAGAATAGCACTCAAAAACAAAAATGTTCAAACTTTTCGGCAAGAATTTAACACTTTTTTACAATAAAGTTTTGCGTTTTTTGAATTTGCATAAGATAAATTGTATAAAATAATTTGTAAGAAACCGTGGCAAAATTTTTTCTCGAAAAATTTAGCATGCTTGTTAAAATAATCAGTACAATTTGTGCATCTTGTAAAAAAAAATTGACATAAGCTTATTCGTTGAAAAGCATTTAAGATGAAATTTAGTTATCTTTGATAAGATTTTCATGAAGAACTATTCAGAGTAGTAGAAAAATTGACACGCTCACTGTTTACAGAACCATAACCATCAATAAAACAATCAATTATTTTGAACAAATCAGAGTCATTTTTTGACTTTTGAATTTTTCGAATTGTCTTTTAAAAAGCTGAACCCAGAGTTTGCGTACATGCAAGTTTTTGATTAGAACTTAGATAATGTTTTTTGAACTTTTCGAACGAGTCGTTTCCTTGATACGCTTGATGTTTTTTAAGCTCCTTTCCATCCTAATTTATGCTGAACTCTGCAACTAAGCTGATTGAATACTTCCCCACTTAATGTGACAAAACTCGAAAAGAATCTGTGTTTGTACAAAATGTAAAGACAATCAATTTCTTGATAGATGTTTTGATATTTGTCTAATCTCTGCAGAATCTGGCAAAGAGGTGTTCCTATCAAAATTGAATGAAACTTGCAAATTCCCAAGGAACAGAAAAAATTGTGAGTAGACGCGCAATCATTTTATGTTACTATGAAATTTCGTAAAATTCAATGAAAACAGAAAATATTGATTTTTTTATTAAAATCTGAATGAAAGCTGGGAAGAGCTTGACACATAGCAGCTGTCATTGAAAAGAATGGTTTTTGCAGAAACTGCTGCTTTTATGTAGAAGTAGTAAAACTTACGCAAATTCCATTGTGGGAAACTTCATACAAAACCTTCCATATTTGGTATTATTTCCTTAAATGGAAATCGCACTGACTCATACTGCTTACTTCCATTTCCATTCAGTCTCAAAATCATTTCTCTCATTTCTCCTCATCTGATCAGTGTACTCTTCAAAAATGTACTCAAGAAAAGTTGATTTGTTTGCTTGCAAAGATCGTACAAGGGAAAAATATACTTCAAACTGTGCTATCAACTACTTAAAATAAATAATTTGGGACCAATTGAGAAACCTCAACAAGTCTATCGTAGTGAAAAAGAAGGAAAAGCAATATCGAAAAGCAATATCGGCAATCCGGAAAATTGTTATTCACGATGCTGAAAACTTTGGACTCGTACCTTTGATTGAAGCCAAATCTGGTAAAGAATCGACTATGGATTCTCGACATCTCGACATCTGTAGTAGATTAGTAGCTGTAGGAGAGCAGCTCGACATCTGTAGTAGATTATATGAAATAGCAACATACAACATGAGGAGGGTGCATGTCACAATCAAGAAGTACATTGTGCACAAGCCAACCTACATTCAGATTGGACTCTTCACTGCAAAAGAGATTGAAGCCATAAAACAAGTTGTCTATAACCACTATACTTTGAACGAATACAAGGAACTGTCTTAAACTTTTGGAAACACTTTGTTTGTTAATAAATGTAAGCCTCAGTAATGCTTTGTAATGTTTTCTATGTTTAGTAATTGACGTATTAATGGTTCAAAACTATTTTTTCTCACTGAAGATTAGATTTAGAGCTATGATATCTGAGGAAAGACAGACAAAACATACAATTTAATTCAAAAAAACATAAAACTTTAACCAATTATCAGTTAATTAACCAGTTATTGCTGAAAAATTACAGAAAACCTTACTCAATTTCTGTTTTGTCTAAACTGAAGTAAGATTTGTCTTATTTGAACAAAATTACATACAAAAATGTAGCTAAAAACCTTATCAATATTTTTTGAGTTTATGTATTTCCTTTGTTTTTTTAAATTTTTTTTGCCTTAATTTGAGTGTTTGATTGGCTACATCATTTTCTAAATGAGGAAAAAAGTTTTCATGGTGATTAATATTACAAAATAAGTAAAAATTGACAAAACGATCCAAGTTTTTAATGTTTATTTGTTCATTTCAGTATGAAAAATGTTTCCACCAAAAGTGTTTTCAATGCCTGAAATGGACATTCATCAGACTTTAAAATTGAACTACTACAAAAAACTACAAGAGTGGCAAACCGATGACGTTGATGGTGATTTAATTAGTTTTAACTTGTATAGAAACACAGAATTTTCAAAAATTTTGTTAAAAAGATGGAGAGGAGATTACAGAAAAAAAGAATACTGCCAGATTTATCAACAATGTTTATTTTAGAAAAGTTAACTCAAATTGAGTGGTCTATCAGTAAAAAACAAAACATTGAAAGAGCCTATGAAAAAAAGAATGAAGATAAGGATTATTTTGAATACTGTTTTGATTTTGATACAAATCCAAAATCTAGATTTGTCAGAATATCTTTTAATCGATTATCCAAAAATAAAAGACTTCCGGTTGTTTATGTTACGATATACCAAAAAAACATAAAAAAATGTATGTTTTGGCAAGTTCTTTTTTCACTGGTTAGAAGTAGAACAAATCAAAAATGTTGATCGAAGTATCACAATTTAAACTGAGTAGAGAAAAAAAAACAACATAAACCAGACAAGAAATCTAATTTAACTCACTTTGGTGTCAAATGGATATAACGGTTATGTCAGAAAAATTCAAAAAAATTGACTTACTGGGAAGATTAAAAAACAAAGTTTTGTTCTGGTCTATAAAAAATTTGAAGTCCCAAATATTACCCTCCCAAATTTAAAGTCCCAAAACCAATCTTAATTCTGATTGATTAATTTCGCAAATATTACCTGTGAAGCAATGCTCGATTCTGATTGGTTGATATCAAAAAAGCTACAAACTTTTTTGTAAGAAACGCTTGATTTTGATTGGTTGATACGTTTGAAACTCCATGGTTAGCTTGAATGATTTTTCTCAGCTTTGTCAATTAGGATGTTATCCATTCTGATTTTCTTTCACGTTAGAAACAATTAGTTGATGAGTTTGCTGTTTTGACTCACTTTAAACCCTTTTTTGAGGCTATTCAACTCTTCTTATCTAAAAATTTGGGACATTTTAAATCCCCATTTATTCTTTCTTTTCTTATCGAGATGCCGTCACTAATTAGAAACGATAGAATTGCATGTCTTTAATGTAGTAGAGATAACACTCCCTTACACGCATCAAGACGTCGTAGAAACTGTGGTGTTTTGAAGTGTTCGAATTGTAACTTTTATACAAGTAGCGGCGAGGAACGCACTAATCATTTCAACAAGAAGCATTGCCAACATAATGTTAAATTATATGCTCAGCAGTCTCCAAACAAACTTTAAGGAAAAATAAAAAAATATATATTTTATTATTTTAAACATAGAAATTATTATGAAAAATAATTTTTACTGAATCTGAAAAGTTTATACAATTGTGATAAATTTGGTGAAAACTATACTGTTTTAATCACAATACCTGAACTTTCATTTATTTTTTTATTCAAAGGTTTTGATTGACGATTAAGACAGCAAAAATTGAGTCGAATTGTCGTAAAACTTTCCATGGAACTCGATCCGAAAATCTTTAATCAACAGTAAAACTCCCTTGGTTGCTAGCCTGTGAAGACTTTGTTGCGATAAATTTGTAGTAAAAGTGCATAACATACGCTAAACAGTAGTTGCCTAAAAATGGTAAAACTTGGATATTTATAAAACATCGACTAATAAAGGGTTTTGTGTAGTTACTATTTTAAAATTTTATTTGTATAGTGCTTGTGAAAGTGTTCATAGAGTAGAGCGTTTTCAAGCAGATAAAGGGGGTTGTTTTATTAGGAATCATGGTTTTCTATTGTTTTTTTAAATGATTTCAGAAAAGAAATTGATAATTGATCTGGAAAAAAAATGTATGTTGTTGCTAAACTTTGAAAGTCTTAGGATAATGATATACAACATTCTCAACCAAAAATTTATTTCAAGATAAAAATTGTGATAAGTTTGAATTGTATTAAGTTCAAAAATTGCTTTAAATTGGAAATTAGTAGATGAAACAGAAAGAGAGAAAATACTAAATCGAGATAGACACTCAGTTTAATTCATCGAGATTTTTGAGATAATATTACTAAAATTTAGCTTATAAAGTATATCTTGAGAAAAAAAACTGACATAAAAAATCCTAAAGATTTATAATTATGAGTAATTCATTAGAAACATTTGTTATCATCTGATATAATAGGTAAATTTATATGAAGAATCAGTTGTTCTGAGGATAAGTTTTGGAAGATGATACTTGAAGCATGAAAAAAATTTGCTTTCAAGGTCTATATTTCAATATTTGGATAAAAAAGAAGAAAATTTTGATGTGGAAAGGTTTTTAAAAAAATAATATGGATTTTGCTGAAAAGTTCTTTGCAAAACAAAACTCTAGCAGAACCAACTATTGATTAATTGACATTTAACATGAAAAATTTCAATTAGACACACAGTAAAAATTTTATTCTGGTTAGCTTTTTTTCAATTAGAAAATTAGGTAGAACTATATAGTTTTTTGCTGAATTCGTTTCGGAAGAAATCACTATTGTTCCAGTTTGCACCTTGATTTCCTTTGCCCAATCAATTTTTTCGAGACGTGCTCTCTAAGAAGTTATTCATGTTCGGGACTAGGTTTTCAGGTTATAACCAATAGGGCTGCTTTTAATTTGTTCTAAAAGCTCAACGTTGAAATACACCTTTATTTTCTCAATTTTTCATGTGCTTTTGAATGATTCAACTAGCCCTCATTCTTTCTCACTTGAACATTTTAAAGAAAACTTCCGACAAAAATCAAGAATAAAAAGGAATACACTAATTAATTTGCAAGAAAAGTGATAGTTAAAGATTTCAAAAGTTGTGTGATTCTCGAAAGTTGCTTAAAAATTTTACTCTAGCCCATAAACAAGGGAACCTTAAGGAAAATATTTACAGATTACATTGTAATAATCAGACGGTATCAGTTCTAATTTCATCTCTGCCAGCAAATTGTTCGTTCAATTGCTACTATTTTCCCCAGTTCTGAATAAATTTTTATGCAAAGTGAGTTCGATAGCAAAAACATGCTCTAAGCAGAAAGCAAGAACAACCTTAAAACATAAAAAAAACTCTACGGAAAATCATGAAAATTATGTTGCAGAAGCAACAGAGAGATCATCATCAGTTATGAAAAAGATTTTGTTGAATTTTTAACTGAAATTTGTAATTATTAACTTGAAAAATTTCTCAAAATATGTTATTTTTGTACAAATTTCGGTAAGTCATTTAGAAAAAATTCATTTGAATGAGGAGGAGTTAAATCATGGAGTTTGATCTAGAAAAATCTTGATTTTATAGAATTTTGCCTTCAATGTTCATTTGAATTGAGATTCTAATTAAAATTCTCTCTGAACTGGACGAAAAAAAAAACAAGTTAGTCGCCAAAATAAAAGGTTGAAAATGGAAAATTTTTGGGTAAATTTGATTAATTTTTACTTTACCTTCTCAAAACTTACGATTCACTAATTCCGGAAGTTTCAAAATTGATTCGGCTATTATGAGCTTTTTTTATTGCTTAACCCGCTTTTTTGCTCAAATTAAGTAATTTTATCGTATTTCAATAATTTGAGAAAAATTGTGGAAAAATTCATTTTTTTATTCAAAATTTTGTATCATTGTCTCAAAATGGTGCCAATTATAAGACAATTTTTGCTCAATTTTAACTCTGTACCTAAAAGTTTTTTTTTTATTAGATCAGAAGCAACATTACACAAGCCAAAACAGTGAGATTTTTGCAATTTTTTGCCAAAAATCTTGACTTTTTTTGAAGTTTCAGGAGGTTTGAAGCCATTCTGAACTTTCCCTTTGATATTCAGAACCTTAAATAACCTCCTTCTGAGCTCACATTAGGGTAAGAGGTATCATATCTTAATGTTTTGAGTGAAAATTGCGGAAAAACCCATATTTTTGCAATTTTTTCAAGAATTACTTGAAATTTTTGCAACTTTTTTTCCAAAAAACTTTGGCTTTTTTCGAAGTTTCATTAGATTTCAGCATTGTTTTAGGTAGATATAGCCCTTTTTTAAAAATTAATAAAGTAACTAATAGGTGAAATTATACCAAAACTTATCGTGTTTTGAAATTTTTTAGAAAAAAGTCAGTTTTTTTGTTTTTAAAAATCTCAGTTTTTGCTCAAGCTGTTGCCATTGACTTACCATGTAACAAAATATTAATTAAAAGACCTTCATTCCACAATCTACACGTAATTAACCAGTGATATTTAGCAGTTAGATAGCGCGCATGAGATTTTTGCGAAAAAAAATAGATATTTCCACACAAAATCCCAAAAAAAACTGTTATCTAACCATCACACAAACCATAAAACCGCACCATTGATATTTAATATCTTAATATTTTGTAGATTCTATACCCAATCTTAATACATAGCTTGCCGACCGAAAGATCTACTCCCTATCTTAATACATGGGGATCACCCACCTAACCCCCAAACACCAATCTCGTTTCAATCGGTCTCTC